TAAAAAACTAAGTTAGAACATACATAAGAATACATATTAATACTTATTCAACAACATAAGTATTGAGGAGTCAAATCATCTTTTATTAACTATACAATCTTTACTTGGTATATTTTTTAGGAATTTACTCCTTTGTCTAGATTATTGCAATACATGTAATATAATTTTTACAGATGAATGCTTTGTAGGATGATGCCAAAGTTCCACAATAATTGCTATATTTGGAAGGAACTCCTCTTGAATGTCTTTATTCATATCTAGAGACTAATGTCAATACTAATAAAAGATGTGACCTTTATCAATAATAAATAATTTAGTATTAGATTAAGAACAAAGAATCTTTTGATCTCATTTCAAGGCATGCAAAATTAATTAGATGAAAATAATAAAAAATAAAATTAATTTTTGGAATCTAACTTTTAGATAAAAAAAATAAATTTTATTTAAGAAAAAATAAAAAAAGTAAAGAATTTCATGTTGATATCTTTAAGATTTACATAAGATATGTATAGAATAATTATAACATGAAAAAAAACCAAAGTCAAAATTAAAAGGACAATGGAGGTCCTTAGTTAAGATCCTAAATCTACAAGAAGATATTCAATAGACTAACTAATCTTGTAATAATGTCAAGTACTAATCAAAGCATACTTTGTACCAAAATAGCTAGCACAACCAAATATTTGTAAGTTGACTATAATGGTCAATTTTTTAATACTTTCACTTGCAAGATAATAGAATGTATAGAAGTTCAAAGAAATATTTAATTTGAGCTTATATTAGAAATAAGGACTAAAAACATTAATAGATCAAAAGTCCTTCATCAAATATTACTATCTAATTACAATAGTCAAATATACTAGTAAATTTTATACTAACTTCTAAAAAATTAGAAATCTTCACTCAATTGATTTGAAATTATAAAATATTTTAAACCATAACCATGTACAAATAATAATTGATATTATATTCAAAAGTCACGATATAAAAAAATCATAGTTATACCTATTATTAAATTTATTACAAAAATAAAAACATATATTATTAATCTTTGCAATTCTATTGATGCCTAAGTATTTAGTGAGATCTTCAATGAGAATTGTACAAAAAAAAAAAAAAAAACAACATTATACTTCAAAATGAGACTCACAAACATACAAAGCATACAGAAATCATAGTGACACTTAGACTTTTATATATAGATTTTTCATTGTTAAAGAGAGGATACTTATAATAATCATTAAAGCATTTATCTACAAAAATAAATTTAATTTTCTTGTAAAGTTGTTGATCTCATATTTCTAGATAAAATATTTTTTACTGAAATATCACCATTTTAAATATTTCAAAAAAATTCAACTAAATATTTTTTTACCTCTTTATATTTAAAAACTATCATATAAACCATAGATAATTATAGAATTAAATTTTTAATATTATAATTTTGGATTAATTTAAATTTAAAAATAAATAGTTAAAAATTTGATATAATATTTCAAATATTTTTATTTTTATTCTTATTTTTAGAATTTTATAATTTTAGAAAATAAATATTCTATTTTTTTCTTAAAATATCAAAATTGATCTATTTTTAAAAGGATTTTAATTTTAGATGTTGCATAGGTCTTAGATGCATCACACTTTTTATTGCATCTAAAACATGACTTTTGCTCAATTCATATTCTATAATTAAATAAAATATCACACAAAATTTGGATTATAAAAATTAAATATAATAAGAAAAATATAAATGATTCAATTTTTTTATAGTTGAATATTTACTTTTTATAATAAAATAGAATATAATTTAATATTCACTCTATTAAAATAAGTAGGATATTTTTTTGAAAGTCTATAAAAATAAGTAATTCTAATATAGTTGATTATTAATCCATAGAAGGTAAAAATTATTATAAATAATTAAGCATATTGTTATATGTATATCTTTTATTTATAAAATAGTAAGTCTTAGATTTTATAATTTAATTTTAGAATAAATTATATTATTTTAATAAAATATTATAATTTAAAAGATAACAAAAATTGATACGTATAAGAATCTAAATCTTTATTTTTGTGAAAATATGTTATCTTTCTAGAATAAGTTGTATTATAACTTGACTATAAGCTAAAAAGATATAAAAATATATTATATTATAAAATATTTTATTTTAAAATATAATTATAAATTATTTTATAATCATAGATAATATTTAAAGAGATATTAAAACTAATAACTGCTATTATTGTTGTTTTTTTAAAAAGATGATTCTACTTCTTTATAGATCCATAAATAAGAAAAAATAAGATATATTACCAAAAATAATATTATAGACATGTTTAAGTAAAAGTAAGGAGTAGCAATGAGCAAAATGTACTTAGATTAATATTAGATTGATATCTATAGAAGGTTGATTATGAACTAAGGTCAAAACCAAACCTTGATGCTTAAAATTGCACTCCTACAACAAATGGAGATTTCTTTTTGTTGATTAAAGTGTAGATTTTGAAAGAAAACTTACTAGAGTTTTCATAAAAATTAATTTTAAAGGATTTGAGTGCATATTTACTTTGTGAAAGCTTTACAAAGTTATGGTTTTTTTAGGTGACTTTGTTATGTATTGAATAAAAAGAGATTTTATTTTGATGAATTGTATATATTTAATAGCAGATCTATGGATTAAATTTGATGGATTTGTAAATGTTTTTGTGTTGAATGTTTGTTGAGAATTTGAGCTCAATTAGACACTCAAATCAAATGTAAGTAAGGTTCAAGTAAGCTAGGATCTTTAAAATTAGGTTTTAAAAGTCAATGAGGATTTTTTAGATTTTAAGTAATTTATAAGTTGGTATAGAGTAATTATTTTACATGTTTATAGTTCACTAAAGTCTTCATATTTTTGCAAATTTTGAGAAAAAATTAACAAGTTAATAGCATAATAATAAATGTGGAAGTTTTGCTTTGAGATTGGAGAAAGAAGATGGTCAACACCCAAGAAGATTAGGTAAATTTTATCTTAGTTCGTCAATTAGATTCTCTTCAAATTTTGTAGGCTTATTTTAAAATAGTAAAATGAATTTATAAAAAAATTTGAATTAAGATCAACAATACATATAATAATTATTGAGGTTTGAAATTTGTTGTGGTATATATTTAGTATTTGAATAGAATTTATTAGAGCTTATCAGAGGTTCGGTTAAGATTTTTAGGATTTTTTAGGATTCCATTAGGATTCAATTAGGATTTATTTAATACTTTTTTATTATTTTCTAGGATTTCTTATGATTTTTTTAAGGATTTTTGAAATTCCTTTAAGTTTTTATTATTATTGTTATTATTATTATTATTATTATTTTTAAAAAATCTTTAAGATTTAATTATGATTTTCTTTTAGAAATTTTAAATTTTATTTGAAATTGAATATAGTGTAATACAATTGTTTAGGTTGTTTAAGATTACCAAGGTGTTTCTAAGCACCTTATGCATTGTTTTTTTGGATCATAAATCCAACTTCAAGATAAGATCATACCCTTCTATAACCAGATGCCTAATGTATCTTTAGACTAATTTTCACATAATAACAATTCTAAGTTTAAACGTTTTTGAAGCACATGGATACTAATTTCAAGAATCTATGTACATACAATTTGTACACAATAGAATGCATTGTACTATAATTTAAAAAATCATTTTGAGTTTTTAGAATGAAATAAAAGCACAAGACAAGAAATATTAACCAAAGTGAAGAAATCTTTGAAACAAAACATTACATCTCAAAAGTGAAAATACAAAACAAAATAAAATAACCTAACATAGCCAATAGATCATTAATAAACTAGATACCAAGTAGATGAAGTTAAAATAAAAACTTGACCCATATATTCTTTAAGTACTACATATTGCTTCTAAATCTGCTTCTCTATTTTCAAAAAGACAAAGTATGTATATTCCACTTCTTCTTTTGACACACAGAATATGTTATCCCCACTTGGGTCAAACAAACAAACAGAATATTCTTATGAGGTCTGGAATAATCGTGACTTCCCTGGTCGTCAGCCGAACCCAACAGTGGAAACGGATGTCATCACGAGAAATACTCATGGAAGCAAACTCTAGCTGAAGTTATATTGCACGTACGCTTGCCACAAGGAACTAATGGGAAAGCAGTAGTGTGCGATGTAAAGAAGGCGATGTTCAAGGCAGGTCAGAAGGATCAGATTCTGGCGGTGAGATACGGTAGATTGCGTCCTGATAATTCGTTCTTCACACTTCGAGATAGAGCATTCATCTGCTTTTTTATCCGATTGGCAGAAGCCATCTATATAATTAGAGCGAGTAATTCGTAATTTGTAATTAGTTTGTCGGGGTTCTCTCAACTGGTGAAGCCTCGTTTGCAGGACGAATTCGACATTCCAGTGAAGCCCGATGACTGTTACTGGACAACAGTATAAGAGATCGAAAATCATGAGCACCCCAGTGAAGGACTGCGATGAATGATGCGGTTTCGAAGTTTTTCGTTTTGTGACCAGGTATTTAATTCATCAAGGTGCTTACGGTCTTCACAGAGGACGATGGGACATTGTACGAAATGCAATAATATGGAGTGGTGGAAAAGTGTGGTGAAAGGAGAGCCTGAGAACAACACGAAGAAGGTGGCACCCGAGAACAGCAAGCTGCAAGACTTGGACGGTGAAACGCGTCAAACTGTAAAGAAAATGATGGTATGGGATTTCCTTCTTCTTCGAGGGAGATTGGAAATTCCAAACGGATAACGGAGAGCAGCCTCTGTTCAAGGAGAGAGAAGGAAAAGATGCAGAGGGAAGGAAAGCAAAAGATGGGGTGGGGAGCGAATGGGAGGGCGTGGTGGCCACGCCGTGGAGTGGGGAGCACGAAGAGTCCGCCGCGAAGGTAGAGTTGTCAGTCCGTCAGTCAGTCAGTCAGGGATGAGGTTGGGATTCTTTCGAAGGATGCTTCCTCACAGGCAATTGTCACGACGGGCCTCTTCCACCCCACTTGGATTCTAGCTCGGGAATCGAGACCATTCCCGACCAGTCGCGTCGCCGCTGCGTGCTCATGAGCTGCTTTTCTTCCCTCGCGTAGTTTGGTCACACTTCTCGTCTGAACCCATGTTATCTAATCTTGTTTAGTGTTGCAGTTGTTGTTGTTGTTGCTGTTCTCCTTGTTCCCCCTCCCTTCTTCTTACGGCGGAGAGTTCTGGTTACCGCTGCTCTTGGTCTTTTACATTTCGCGCTTTTAGATTTTGGGCGTACTGGCTTGCATCTTGGTTATTGTAAGTTTTATTTTTTTCTTTTCCTCCTCCTCCTGCTTCTTCTTCTTTTTTAGCTTTGGGTTTGAATTGGTTAATTTCGTTTTAATGTTGGAATGCTGGACTGACGGAATGATGTGGTTTCTGAATTAGGTTGATTGAGGGGCTCTGCTATGGCATCTGAGGTCGCGAAGCCGGTGGAGAATGGAATCCATCCCAAACTTGAGCAGTCTTTCGACGCCCCGGCTGCGACTAAGCCTAGCAATTCGGAGCTGTTGAAGCTTCACCGAGATGGAGTTCCGTTCGTTATGCCGAGCAAGCGAGGGATTGACACTACCGCTCCAGATTTTGACCCCCAGGATTTTCTGGACTTGTTGGCAGAGGATGTGATGTTTATCCAGCATGAAAAGCTCCGGGAGATTTTGGAGGTGCAGGCAGACGTCGAATACTTGCGACGTGTCGGGCTGAACGGGCGCACCGACGTCGAAAGTTTCAGAAAGTGTGTGCCCATTGTGAGTTATGGTGATTTGGAGGCTGACATCATGCGAGTGGTGAACGGTGAGAAGACGCCCATCTTCACCGTTGATCCCATCGTCACCCTGAATTTGAGGTCTGCTGATCCATCACTTTTTATTCATCTCGACATAAGTCGATTCTTGCGTCATTCCTCTCAATCGTTTGACGCAATTCCACTTCTGCTCATGCATGCAGCTCAGGAACTACAGCTGGGAAACCCAAATTTATTCCCTCAACAACGAGAGCATATGAGTATTTCATGTTCCTACAGACCTTTGTAACTTCCATATATCGCAGGTTTGCAAAATACCCCCCCTTCCGAATACGAGTTTCGGCTTAATGGACTTTCACACACATTCCAATGACAATTTTATTCGGGTGTGTGACGGGCAAGGTGATTTGTGTAACAGAGAATTTCCAGGGTACAAGGATGGCACGAGCTTTACTCTGGCCTTCGCTGGAAAGCAGATTGATACACCCTCGGGGATCAAAGCCGGCGCACAGAGCACCAATCACTTCAGAGGTCCAATGTTTCGGAACCGAGTTAGGAACGCCAACCGTGAGTATTGCGTCCCAGACGAGGTGATTCTGTCCGATGACACGACTCAGAGCATGTATTGTCACCTTCTCTGCGCGCTGGCTCAAGCTCCCGAGATCGTCAAAGTGTACGGGACATTCGCAGGTAATTGATGATGATGATGATGATTCAATCAAATCTTTGTGCTGCTAGCAAGATTGCAGTTGTCATCGTTGGCTATATCAGGGTCATGTGGATGCTGATCTTGATTGCTCTTGTGGTTCTGCTGCAGCCAGCATTGTCTCTGCAGTCCGCGCACTTCAAAAGCATTGGTCAGAGATCGTGGAGGACATCAGAACCGGCACACTGAACGCCAAGATCACGGAGCCGGAGATGAGAACTGCGGTTCAACAGATGCTGCATCCTAACCCAGACCTTGCAAGTAGGATCGAGGAAGAGTGCTCGAAGGATAATTGGGAGGGCATTCTCCCGCGGCTATTTCCTAACGCGCATTTCGTCAGCTGTGTCATCTCCGGGAGCATGCTACAATATGCGCCTGCGTTGAAGCATTTCTCAGGCCATTTGCCGACGATCTCCCTCGCATACGCAGCTTGCGAGTGCTCCTTCATTGGCTTCAATCCCTCTATGAAATGCGCACCCGAGGATATCACCTACATGCTGTGGCCTGAAACTGCATATTACGAGTTTATCCCGCTGGATGAGGATAGTAATCCGGAACAAGATGGCGATGTTGTGAGGACAGTGGAGGCTTGTGACCTTGAAGTCGGCAGACAATACGAGCTTGTGGTCACAAACGTTATCGGTAAATCACCGTAACCCAGTTTTCTACCGGCAAACCTTGCTCACTTGCTTTCACTTGCAACATGCCTAAGATCAAAACAAATAAATAACATGATTCCTTGTCAACTGGCCCCTGAAAATGAGCTGTGAGTTGATCCAGGTTTATACAGGTACCGCCTGGGCGACGTACTAACAATGAAAAGATTCCACAAGACGGCACCCGTGTTCGAGTTCGTGCGACGGAAGAACGTAATCCTGAGCGTACACACGGACAAGACCGACGAGAAGGAGCTGCAATCAGTGGTGAACCTAGCCACCGAGGCGCTAGCGGGCACCGGCATGGAGCTATCCGATTACACGAGCACGGCCGACGTATCCACCCTGCCGGGCCGGTACGTCATCTTCTGGGAGATGGTGGATAGCAGCGACTTGGACTACGACGTGCTGCAACATTGCGCCAACACGCTCGACGCGAACTTCAACAGCGATTACCGGCGGTGGCGATCCGGCCATCAGATCGGTCCACTGGAGCTGCGTATCGTGAAGGAGGGGACGTTCAATCGCGTGATGGATTCTGCCGTGGCGCGAGGCGCCTCGCCATCGCAATACAAGCCTCCTCGGTGCGTGAACAATCCCCACACGCGGCAAATCCTCGACGACGGCCTCGTCGCTTCATTCCACAGCACCATCACGCCGAACCCCGCCCCAATCGCCCTCACCGGGTCCTAAAACCGTGTATTTGGGGGCGCAATACCGACCCATCCCTCGTGGCAGTGTTTAACGTGGAATTAACTGAGTGTACACGTTTTCTCGTAAATGCTCTTCATTTCATTGTACTCTATTATTGATTTACTTTATATAAATGTTTTCTATACTTATACTCCAAGGCAAGTTCTAGGAGGCTTCTGTACATGGTTGGTAAGAGGTGGTGTAATCCTTATGGTTTCACATTTGATTCCAATTGATGCATTGATCTCTATATTTAATTTTAGGGGAACTGTATCTTCTTGAGAGTTGCTTTAGCCTCCTTATTTTTAGTTATTTTTATTTTGATTGTTATTATTATTCTTGAATTGGGGTTCCAAATTCAAATAGTAAAGTAGGCATATTCTAAAAGATCGTACTTGTCCAAACTATTTACTTGGATAAATACAAAGCTCAAATATGTTTTAAATGTTTTTATCTTTTTTTACACCAAGTTTAGAGGTTGATGCTTGATCACTGGCGAGAGTGTTGTAGAAGTATTTTTTACTGTTCCTCTTTCAATGTTCATTTTCATGGATCATAATTGCAAGGAGTATTATTTTATTTTATTTATTTTGGAAATGACTCCAAATATTTGTGTTGCTTGTGCAATATGATTTTTTTTTTTTTTTTTTTTTTTTTCCTATCACTTATCAGAAATTAACAATTTATATAGTTATTTGGTAATAATTATGTAATTTTTAATTAGATAGTTCTTTGATTCAATAATGTTTCATAAATATATTAATAGTAACAAGTTATATTTTATGTACTTGAATTTGTTGTGTTCTATCTTTGATTAAATTGATCTAATTTTAAAAAAAAAAGTTCAGACAAAAAAATTAGATTTACTCTACAATATAATGTTCTGATAATCCTATTGTTCTTCTTAATTACTTTTTGTATCCTTTGGGGTTGCAGAATTTTTAACAAGTTATTGTCATAAATCTTCTAATAAAATACATTTTAATTTTCTTTTTGTAGCAACTACTTTGTAAAAGTAAAATAAAAATTAAATTAAATTAAATTAAAAAAATCAAATCTACGTTTAAAGTTTGTGAAGATATTTAACAACTTTTAATGATCCTATTTCATTGATATTCTACTATTGTGGATTTATTTTATTTTATTTCATTTTTATATAATAAAAAAAATTATGTTATAATCTTGATATTTTTTGACTAGTTGATTTGAATATTACAAAAAAAACCTCTTGCTTTTTGTAATATTTTTGTAGAGAGAGAATTGTTAATGCTACATCCCCAATTTATATTGCTACACCCCACATGACCATTACATGGTTTAAATTGTCTAAAAAGTGTACTTCTATGCTCAAGGCACATTTTTGCAGCCAAATATTTAATCCCAATATTAACCCAAAATAGAATAAATCAAAAATAAGTTTTGTTTAATAAATACTTACTAACTCACTCTTAACCACCACTATTTCTTAAAACAAAGAAAGAAAAAAATACATAAAATAAAGAGACATATTATTAGCTAGATGTCCACAAAGTAACATCCATTAATTTTTGCAATAATTTTAAATTTAATTAAGAATATTTGTATGCTCATTTTATTTTAGTTTTTTTTTAGTTATATACAAAATCAACAAAAAAAATTCCATCACTTTTCTCATTAATAATTATTTAGTTTCCCCCCATAAAAATTAAGTTGCCACAACAATGCATATACGTCCATCTAGAAAACATACATAACGATATGAACCCAACGAGTGTTGTGTCAACTTGGATCTAGTTCCAATTACATTCACATTTTTCTAATACATCAAATATTGTTACTGTTTATTCTCTTACAATTTTCCAGGAGAAAGTTAAAAACTGAAAACTAGAGGAAGTGTTACTGGCATATCAGGAACATGAAAAACCTCAAAACTGATGCGTCTTACGTGAAATCGTCATCTCTCTGAGGTTATTTCACACACGACATTAACTTTTTTGCTCAGTGGGTTGAGGAAGCTCCAGGGGATACAAACATCCTCCAACATTAGGCAAGAAAACTGCAGAATCAACACAATAAAACAACATAGAAATGTTGTCGTGGGTCATGAATCAACTGTTCTGGCGAGTTGTAGGGAGCAAAGCATGAATCTAAAGAAAGACCAACAGAGCTTGGGACATGGTCCGGGAATTCTGAAGCTTCGAACAGTGAGTTTTTTTTTTCTATTGTTGGAGGTGACGGTTGGTCTTGGTTCATCACAACAAACACGACGCATTACGTTTGGTTATGGTCTCTTCATCCTCCAACACCATTCATAAACTCGAAACTGGGTCATGAAGGATTTCCCAGGCTTGGTAGGGTATTACACGAAGGCGTCAGCTTTTGACCTGCCACTGGCGAAGGTCCATGAAGGTAACGTTTATTTTGGTTCTTAACAGTAGGTGTGCTGTGTGAACACATGTATGTCGTGAATCTTCATGCTTGGAAAAGAGTGACCTTTGGTTTCTCCATCGCAACTCATCAACCTCACATCTTTTCTCTGACTATACACGAGGTAGATAGCGTGTGTAGCAGGAAAGAAAACCACTCAGAATGTGCGAAACTCTATGTATACAGAATATTAAGCTTCCAACACGTTACAGAAATTTGACTAAACCGGGGCTTGTCTTGCAGAAAGTTTTTCGAAGAACAAAGCACGATTCTTCAGGGCGTGGTCCTTGAGGATTCGGTGTATCCCTCGCAGTAATAGACAATCGGACGTTCCGCTTTTGTCTTAGTTGTCAATCCTGTACTTAAATTCATCATCGAATCCAACATTTCAGAAAGGCAGAGATTGCCTCTGAAAACTTTTTTTAGCTTTGCGAATCCTCCTACTTCGGAAACCATACATTCAAAGATTTGGTCATTGCTGCTCAGGAAATGTCAGAAGAAATGTCAGAAGAAATGTCGGTAAGCGTTTCATGATTTATCTTGTGCATATTTTTAGATATTCTTGTGGAGGTCGTCCACTCATACAGCCTCTGCTGTTGAGCGGACAATACTGCAGAGTGTCATTCGGCTAAGCATGGATCTTAACTACGAAGAATCAATTCCCTAAACGAGATTTGTTGCACATCATCAGCCATCTCGTTTAGGGCCCAGCCAACAATGACTTAGACGAGGCCATTCTGTAGCTTGTCTCGCATCCTCTTCAGAAACTCAACTCAGCTGCTCATAAACCAGAACTTCAGGGCTCATTTGGGGATCAACCACGTGCACAGGGACTGATAGAGCTCAATTGATCCAGCCGTGTGCAAACTGGACGGAAAAGAGTACATAGCATTACATGTTGGAGCGGGATTCATAGAACGCATTTCTCTGTAATCTGTGCGCCTCATGAAGTGGAAAACCTCACCAAACGCATTTAATATTCGCTCACCTAATCCAGACAAAAAATTATCTACTGATTCAGTTCTCTGTAAAATTCAATCAACCAGAATCTCTTTTTCATGATTTTCAGAAATCGGCAGAAAGCAGCCAGCAATCAGCAACTGAACCATCAGCGACCGACTTGATGCACCCGGAGGTCGCGCAGATGATACACGGCGAAGGCTATAAACCCAAACCCCTCCCCTCCTGGCGCAAGTGCCCTCTAATCCAAGCATCCCGCCTAGCCGAGTTCAGACCCATCCCGAACCATACGACCCCCAAGATCCTCCAACTGCCAGAGCACATCCGAGCGACACTCAACGGTTGCAAGGTGAGTGCGATCGCGCTAAGAAGTCGACATAAGTTGTGTCACTCAGTGGCACATGTTTTCACAAGAACAATGCTGTGCACAAAACTAAAAATATTGTGAGAATAAACAATAATTCGGTGCACAAAAAACGACGACATTGTGAGACTGAATAGTTTGTGTGACAAACTTTGAGTCCAGTCTCATGCAAAATGGGGTGCAGGTATTCCAGCCCCAGCAGATCGCCGAGTACAACCGCATACTAGAGTGGGACGGCAAGCTTGTGAGCGGCGTGGATCACATGGTGGCCAGGAATCCGGTGAAACCTGGGCGCTTATACCACAAATTCGACTCGCTGTGCGCATTGGCCACGTCCAGAGCAGGGCGCCTCTTGGTCATACAGCATCGAGAGCTGAATCATGTGTTCTACGCCATTTGCTACGACCCCGCGCACAAGCCTTACATCGACTGGCTCAACATGTACGAGCGCCGCTGGTACGCTCTATCGGTGAGCTACGGGAAGTAGCGGCAGAGGTCGCATGTGGTTGCTTCGAAGATTCGTCGGTTAACGATTACCGACCACAGATGCGTGTCAACGATTACCGACACCGGTATGAGAGAATCTCAGAATGTACATAATTTCGCTGGTGATTTCTTCCTTATTTTTCTTTTTTTCTTTTTACTTTGAAAAGATTATCAGGTTTTGTCACAATTAATTGACGTTGGACTTGTACTAAATAAGGAGATTGCAAATCAGATTAGGGATGTTAGTGTGATTAATGAGAAGTTGGTGTGGATATTGAACAGTGATGTTATGTTTAATGACGGGAAGTGAAAATTCATGTTGGATATGTTGATAAAAGCATGGATGTCTTCCACAACCAATTTTGCATTAAGTGGCTGTGTACGGTAGATATTTGACTAAAAAAACTGTATGATATGTATGAATATATGAATTTTTGAAGATTAAATTGTTGCCCTATATGAAAATTGTAAAAAAATCAATTTTTTTTTTGCATGAGACTGGATTTAAATATGTTAAACAAAACCCAGCTTAAATTGCAACCAGTAAGTCATATATTTTTTATAATACAAGGGGGTTGGGAACAAGGGGGGCTTAGGATGAAGAAGCCTGGGAATGAAGGAAGCATTGGAAGGGGACACGAGGGATGGGCATGAAGGCCATGATTGTAATAATAGTTTTTGGAGATGATTTATTCTATAATGATAGTTATAATAGGGTGGGTCATTTTAACATTTATATATATATAATATATATAACTAATTAAAAATAATAAAATAAATCACATAATTATATAATACAATAAGTTTTTAAAAAATATTATTAAGAATCACAAATATACATTTTAAAAACTTTGGTTGATATACTTTTGTAATATACTTAAAAACCTTTATACATTATTCAAAAATAAAATTTAAAGACCTTAATTCAAAATAAATAACCTAGAAAGAAAGTTTTAAAATAGTAACAAGAAAATACCTCTATCTCAATAAGCTTTTTCTACAATTAGATAAAAATCAAAAATCAAAAACTACATCTCTAAATATTTACTTATTTTTAAAACATGTAAAAACAATTCACAAAAGGTGTCTTTGAAGTATCACACTAATTAGAAATAGTAGATATTTTTTATAGCTTGATGTAAGCAAACGTTCTAAGAAATGCCTACACTAGTTGATGAAATCAGATTATTGTTCTACATTAGTAATTATTAAGCAATGTCTCACTTAGGCAACATTAACCATTATTATTTTTTTAAATATTTATATGGCATAAAGTGCACTTGAACTTCTTAATGTCATTGCTCTCATTTAGTAAAACTATCGATATTATTTCAAAGAAAGTAAGATTTGCTCATACAAAAATGATAAGTAAATACTGTATATTTGTGTATATTTATATATTACAACATGAGCAAGACCTCAGCGAGAAGTGGCTTTCAAAAAGGAGAGCCCAAACTACGATGAAGAGCTCCCACCACATATGACAGATATCAGATTGAAAGTGTGTTCACAAATTCAGTGGATAGTTGAAAGTGTGTTCAAAATTCTTACCCTAATCCTACTTCAGATTCAGGCAGGATCTGTCCCAATTGAGGGTTTCTGCACTTTGGTAGGAGTCCGATGCAGCCGAATCGGAGGGGTAGATGTACTCATATGCTGACGAGTGTAGAACTCAGAAAAGTCGAGTCGGAACGACAGGAACTTCAAATCTACATGTTGTTGCACTGGCAACTGCGCTATGAATCCTTCAAGCAGAGATGAGTATTCCACAGCAACCCCATGCATCTCTTCTCCAAGAGTTCCTAGAAAATCACCTGATAGCTGTGTAGTAGACAATTTCCTTTGTCCAGGGCGAGGTTTAGACAGTGTATCACTCTTCACCCTTGACCTCGATGATGGATCCCCCCTGCCACAGAAATGGTTAACGCCTCTTAATATATCCTGAGGAATGATGGTGTTGAAAGGTACGCTTGATGAATACGGCTCTTTGTAGCATTGGAAGCCGCTCATATTGAGTGAATAAACCCTCTAAAATCACAGTGAAATGAATTCGACTCGGCCTAAACTTAAATTATGTTTGAAGAACAGTACCTGGTCTGAACCTCACGTGCGTTCTCATACAGCCTGTCTGCTAGGCCTCTGAATCGCAAAATGAGATCGAAGAGGCTGAAGAGCGTCTTGCAAAGCAACTGAGAACGTTCACCCAACAAGGCCTTTTCCAAAATGGAACCCAAGTACTTGTCGTGGGCAGCGATGAGTTCGTCAAGGTCATGTGCTTCCTCCATTTCTTCGAGAAAGTTGGACCATGAGTATTCCAGAACTTCAAACATGATGTAATACTGAAGATTAGTCACAAAATGGTTCATCTCATTCCGCAGGGTCTGGCACCTTCTCAAAACTATGGTTAGCTGAGACTGCCCCCCACCTTCTTTATTTGACCATAACCGAGCAATCATGCAATTTGGCTTCATTGTTTGCCAAGTTGCACAAAGAGCATGCTCCACACGCTTAAGCCTCCACAAAAAGTTGAAGACTTTCAGGTACTTGCCCATCACTACTTCAGTAAACAGTGTAGTTAGAGGTTCTCGAGCATTATACTCAAGAGAAAAGACATCCCATCCTCTGTCCCCATCATTATGCGGCATCATGCGCACCCTGAGCCGATCAAGTACGTCTCCATCATCGTATTGAGCATTAGATGCACGCACAGAACTCTCTAAAGTCCCAGACAGCTTGAAAGAGCTTAAGGTGTTGGCTGGTTGAGCAAGCTCTGGTCCAACAAGATCCATCAAACATTGTATAAAGTCGCCTTGCCCTAGAAGGAGATACCTCTTAATAGCCAGACAATGCTCCGGAAATCGATACCTGTTAAATCCAAAGTTTCTTTAACGACAGTCTCAACCATGGTCTAAAAGAAAAGCATACCACGGGTATAAAGTTCAAGCGAACAGATACACACAGATAGATAGCAACCAGACAAAGAAAGGCTTGAGGTGAGGGGCACAACTAAAATAAGTAACTAGTAAGTACTGAAGATGGCAGGGTGTGCGGCGCAGTACCTTTTGTACATGATTTGTATGAGATGTTTGTCAATCCTGCCAGCTGCTTCAGCAACAAGAGCCTCCAGCACTTCAATTTCACCATAACCAAGAATACCGCCGCTAGCAGAGGCCCCTGCAGCAGCAACTGCTTCAGAGGCAGCTTGCGCCCATCCTTGATCTGAGCAGCAGACTCGAAGAAAGTTGATAGATTTTCCTGTTCTTAAAATACGTTGAGCAAGAGGTTCCGGGATAAAAGACGGTAGCATAGCAGTCTGAAGTTGATAACCCTCCCGCCACAGTGCTTCTGCTTTTACTGACTGGGCCGAAACAAAAAATTCTGCATAATAGTCATCAATCTCACCTTCAAGTACCCACCTACAAAATTCGAGACAGGGAGTCAATCCCAATCAACACAATATCTTACTTCACATAGAAACTTCCTACAATAAGATTGACATATCGTGGTGTATCAAAATATTCTACAACCCGACAAATAAAGCAAGGTTGGATGTCCAAAACATTATCGAAATTGGATTCTTGGGTTCGTGCAACAAATTCTAAGCATTAACTATTATGCTTCCCACAAAATCGTACCTACACTTTCCAGCAACTCACAAACGAATTATAATATATTCAGATGTAAGAAACTACCCTACCTTCGAACCATTTCAAAAAGTGGAGAGGAGACTTGGCGCAAAAGACGCCTTAAAAAAGTACGAACCAATGAGTCACCGTGTTGAGCGTGCATATGGATGGCTCCTGCCATCGCTCCACCCCTCAAAGTCTTGCAGTCATCTACCAATACAGCCATTAATCGCATTCTGACCAACGGTTCGCCAAGCCACACCACCAATCTTCTGAGAGATAAATAGTTCCCAACAGAATTCCCGGAGTCAGCTCCTACCATGAGGGGAATGGGATGATGAACCTGACTCTCAAGGACTGCCATCAATCTGTAGAAGTCTGCAAGCTCTTCTTGAAGAGCGGCACAGAATGCTTGGCCTACTGTACCTATTGCTTCCAATGGACCATTCTCAAGGCTCTCGGAAATATGATTCTTGACTCGCAAGTACAACCATCCTACTTCACAAAGACGCCGAACTAGAGTTCTTGTCGATTTCGGCACCCTAATAGATTCATCAATCATGTACCCATCGGCATCTTCATTGTATTTCACATAACGGCCATCAATGCCCTGACATGCGTAGAGGACATCCCGCACTATGGCCATCTCTGAAACATCTGATTCTGATTGAATAATTTCAAGATATTCTCTCATTGCAGCTGACTTCGCGTTTCCGTCATCTTTTGTCAGAATGAGAACACCTCCAGGAGAACTTGGTAATTGTGCGCGCACAGAATGCGACAATGACTGAGATTGAGAGGTGCCATTTCTGGAAGAGTAAGACCTGCCAGATGATACATCGTGCTCCGGTGAGTAACTTGGTAACTTGGGGTGCATGCTATTCGTCGGTAATGAAGGGAGGCCTCCGTGGGCCGCAGCACCTGAAACACAACGCTTTAAGCCCCCTGGAACCTCCACATTCACATAGTAAACTGACCTTGAAGTTGGATTAAGGAAATTAAATCAAGTGCGGGACAACACGAACATAACGAGAAACGAAAGGTGAAATAATGAAGCACAGGTAGAGAAACTATATTAAATCAAAACAAATACACAAAACAGATACACAAAACACAATGAAAGAAACATATGTACCTGAGAAGGTGGACGTGAATGATATAGCGGTGCCTCTTGTTCCCGTTCTCTCTCTTTTCTGATCTTCCACAATTGCACGAAGGAGGTACAATAAAGCCCATCGACTCTCAATAGAACCAGGCCCACTAAAAGATGATAACCTCCTATGCAAATCTGCAAAACTAAGGGCGTCCGCGGACCGATTCTCTTGGACTAGTTGTCTCTTAATTGCCTCCGCCACTGCAGCTTCGTCATTAGCGAGAGAAGGAGAAATTCTGCTTCCAATAATGCGCATTGCGTACTCGTGAGCCCGATGCACAGTCGGATCACCCAGCCTTTTCTGCGGCCCATGACCACCATTTTCTGCACTTTTGCCACCACTAGGAAAGATGCGCACCGCGAGCTGCCACACTAAATCAGAGACTACGTTTCCTTCCATAGTCTCTTCCTCTCTCTTACTCTCTCGCTACTAAACTACAACTTAACCATGACCTAAACCTCTCGATTTGGTAGATACTTGTAGACAACACTTGGATTGTAAAATATTATTTAGATCGCAGGACATCTGACATAAACGAACAAATGTAACAGCCTGCGTTCTGCAGGCACATGCCAACTTTCCAACACAGTATCCTTAAGACTAAACCCCAGCTGCGTATAAAAGCAGTAAGGTCAATAATGATGAGAGAGGGAGGGACTACATTCAACGCAGTGATTCAGAGACGACGCGGCACTACTCTTCTCTGCTCTTTCACATCACTCCACTCCGCACTGCAGACCATCTAAACGGACGGGACGAGAAAGAAAAGTCCAAGTCCAAGCCAGTCAGGAACCAAACCAATGAGCGGATTTCGACTAATCTGCTGCCACCATGAGAACGTACAATGAAGTGACTAGATCTCTCTGTGCAATCTGCACACATCCAGACGCAGAGAGAGTACAAGAGTAATGACTCTGCCGCACGCGAACCGTCCGCTTGACCGCAGAAGGTCTTCACTCATAGCTGAACTCCTCGTAACCACCGGCGAAACGAAAAACTAGACAAAGAAATCAACAACTGCCGCTAACCTAAACCAAAAGAAAACCTCCAACTCGCGCACAATCTCATCCCCGAAGCGACACACTCCACGACTCACCCTGGCCAGGGGTCGTCGTCATTCGTTGCCCCCTGATTCAAAAACAGGCAGCTCGAATCCGAACAAAAAACTACTTCAACCAACACAACCCTGTGGCGCTGCGTTACAGATTCCTCGCTCACATCATGGCATTGCAATGCAACGTCGCGCATCCCATGCGATACGAGAGCTTCTTTCGAGGATCGAAGCGGCCTCTTTCGCGCTCAGATTTGGCTTTGCTTCGCTTGGCTTGCTTGCTGCTAATGCCGGCTCCGCGACTCCTCCCTGAGTAGAAATTCAAAAAGCCCTTGATCCGGTTCCCGAAGGCTGTTTTTCAAGGGGTTTACGGATATGGAAGCAACTTCTACGCCGATAGTAAGCTTATATGATGAGATTAAGTGGGACAGAGTTTGTATCGCTTTTAATGTAAGTTGGAGGATTTGGTGTAGTAAGTTCTGATGTTTTTAATGAAGAATTCGTTTGTGTAGTTAGTATGAATATAGAATTGTAGGCCTTTTTTGAATATGTTATTTTGGTTTTTTGTTTTTTTAAAAAATGTTGTGAGTGAAGGCAACTGTTTATAACATTAAGTATGTTGTTTACATCCTTAATGTTATAAACAATTAAGTTGTTTACAAGATGCTGTTTACATTAAGGATGTTGTTTACAAGAAGCAAGTCCATAAGAAACTAGCATTATTAAGTATGTAGCGGAGTCTTTTTAGTATTGTTTATTTTCTATTTCAAAATATACATTTATAACACATGTATTAATTGTTTAAGTTTTATATGGTTGCAATGCAAACAATTAGTAGGATTCTTGAACATGCCCATGGTAGATAAAAACTTCCTAGTGATTTGAATTGTCTTATTTTTATTTTTTCTCAAATTGCCACATTAGCCAAGTATGGATTCAGTTTGCCATTGCCACCACTATCAGCTTGTTGCTGTCACTAGTCCGACATCTTATTCTTCGATCCAAGACAACTTGGCAATAATTGGGTTTTACCACCCTACTACTCCAACCTTCAACCAATGGGATGTTTTTGCGACTCCAACCAAACATAGGTTAATCAATTTTTTATGTAGATAAACTAGTAGTTAAACTATTGGATTTCCCAACGCTAAGTATGTTTTGGTAACCAATGAAAAAAATAAAATAAAATAAAATAAAATACACACACATACATATACATACAATATACAAATTAATATCCCTTACTATGATTAATAAAAAAAACAAAACAAAACAAAATAAAATGGCACCACATCAGTCAAATGTGGATCAAATTTGTTATTGCCGCCGCTGTTAACCTGATCCATCTTGTCATCCCATCTTGACCTATAGCCATTGTCAACTTAGCCCATCCCATCATTTTATCTCCACCCTTAGTTGTCATCAGCCCAACCTATCCTGTTAGTCCATCCCGATCTACAGTTGTTGTCAACTTAGCCCATTCTATCCTTTGATGTCGAGTAACTTGGTAATAACGAGGTTTTACCACCCTCAAACCAATGGGACTATTTGCAACTTCAACCAAATGTAGATATATAATGAAATATTTGCACCTAATAAAAAAATGTTAAAATTTTTCCTTAAGTATTTTTGCAATTGCTATTTATTTCAAAACAACAATGTATCTTTATTTCAAAAACATAATAAAAAATCTCATGTTATTAAATTCCAATAGTATTCTATTTACAACAACAAATCAATTTTCAAAGAAAGAATAACAAGATAAATTATAAAAAATTATCAAAATAATCACATTTAGAGTATAATGGTAAATATTAGATAGTGGTTTACAATAATATTTATGTGTATTATTTGTACTAGATAAATAATATACTTAAATGTATATTAGATAGTATGCCCATATATTAATGTAGGTTTTATATTTTTATATTTTTATATTTTTGATATAGTTTCAGAAGAAATAAAAAATTAAATTGTATTTACATTCACTAAATTTATATTTTTAAAGAAATGTAAAGGGAATGAATATTTGATTTTAAACTACCATTTAACAAATTAAGATATTTGGTGCATTTATACTATATAATATGAACAAATGTACATAAAGACAACATCAAACTTAATTGATGTGTGACAAAAACACAAGAACTATAACAAAGATATAAATTTAAACATTTTAGAAATATTTAAATATTTGAGTTTATTGTTATTGATATTATGACTATGTGGTCTTTTATTTTATCTTGGTATTTCTATTTATTTATTTATTTATTATTATTATTATTATTATCATTGTTATTATCATTGTTATTCTGGTTATTTTCACAAAAAAGATGAACTCTTATTGATGTGTTAGATTGCGTCCTTCATAAGTGCATTGTAAGTTCCATGATTCATTGGATCTTATTAAAAAAGAAACTAACCAGTAGTTTGGGAAAAGCCTCAGAGGTTTCAATAACTCCAAGCGTTTTGACAGCTAGATCGTCTACAATAAAATATCTATTAAAAATTCAGGGTCGTCGTAATAAATTACAACACAACTTGATTCCGTTTTTTTATTGATTCATACTCAAAATAACCAAAATAATCAAAATCACCTAAACCCAACACCAAAGCCCTCAATTCGGAAGAGACGATGGAGTGTGCAGGGGTTTTCTCTGTTCATCCAAACGTGGATGTACGTGGCGATGGAGTGCACGCGGATGTACTGAGTTCATCCACACATGGATGGCGATGCGACGTCGAAAACGAGGATGAAAAGAATTCATCCATATCTCCAAAAAGGAAGCCGCGGGGTCCGCTCTGCGATGATTCTCAAGCCTTAGCAAAGCGCCGAGACACCAGGTTTTGAATACCGAGATCATGGAATTGTTGCTCATTTGAGCTCTGGGGATTTGCAACCTTCGCGCATTCCTTTAAGGTTTAGGGTTTGGGATTTCGTGTTCATTGTAGGAATTCTCAAGCGCCATGGCAACGTCAGCGATGCTGCATGTCCCTGGAGCAGTGCTTCCGGACAGCAAAGTCTCAAGCTCATTCTTCGCCGGTAACTCTGCTAACTTGGTTTTGCAGCCCGCGTCGTCTTCAGGGCGAGATTTTGTGAGCATTGCGGGACGTACACGGTGAGTGTGGCCGTGTGCAACAAGGAAACGCTTGGTTGCAGGGTGATTAGGTTGATTTCTCTCATCGATTTAGTGATATGCTTAATCTCAGCGGGTAGTCTTTCCTGATCAGAGGTCTGCTGCGGGACGTTTTTCTTCCTCTTGCTCTTGTCTTTTCAAACAAGAGAAGGAAGGGCCTGCTTTGGGATCCAAACCTGGGGGACACAATCACACATTCAAAATAATTCCAAGGCAAGCTTGGATCACCTGATCCCGGACTGTGTCACCACGCCGGTCGGATTTTCCCCTCTATTTCAGCCAACTCAATCTTTTTAACAGATTCAGATGGCTAGTTTTACTCAACTCTCCCTGAGATATAAGGAGAATTGGTGGGTGTCACGATGACGCTCTAGCAGGAACGAGCCTCGACTTGCGTTCAAAAACTCGATGATTCACGGAATTCTGCAATTCACACTACGTATCGCATTTCGCTGCGTTCTTCATCGTTGCAAGAGCCAAGATTTTCGTTGCTGAGAGTTGTGTTTTATTATTCATGAAATCTTAACTCATAAAACCTCCTCCTCCTCCTCAGGAAGAAGATGAAGAGGCTTCATAGGGACTCGATACAAATTCAGTCAAAAAAATGTGAAAATAATTGTGCTGCAGTTTCCATAGGTGATGTTGATTAGCACAGACGTAGAGTGCTCCGATTTGGCGCAGTGCACTTCTGGTCGCTAAGAAACTGATTCTGCTACTGTGTCTGTCTGATCTTCAAGGTCTAAGAAATGAGCAGAACTTCTAAGGCATTTCTTGTTGAAGGAAAATTGTGCGGCGTGATTTGACCTTGTCTTGAATTGACGTGATAAGACCTTTCTTCCGATGGCACCTCTTAAAATGGTATTGCTTTTTCGCGAGATGTGCTTGATAGAAGTGCGTAGGGGATTTATGTCTGTTTACGCTGTATGATGGGAAAGTGGACTACATGAAGGTCGGGATAGCGGCACACCTTGTACAGATATCTGATTGATACAATGTCAAAGCAAATTCATGGCAATATTTCTCAAGATTGGTCTGCCTCAAGAAGTCTCACTTTCTAAGGATTTCTCTTGACCTGGAATGTGCAGACTGGTGGGCGCGTGGGCTTCAGCTCAACATGCTGATAATTCTGCTGCCCAGAATGTGTGTGAAAATTATAAAGGGAGATTGAGGCTCTTTATTGACACAGCTGACTCTAAGTCGTGGCAGCGCTGGCTTCCTTCTGGTGCTTTTTACGGTAATTCTGCCTTTCCTATTCACTTACGTATTTCTCTCCCATCCAGATTGTGTCTGTGGCGTCTCTGTCAAGTACATGAATGAGAAGCTTAATCGTGTGATATTTCGTCGCAGGTGTGACAACAAATCCTCTCTTGTTGGAGAGGGCAAATGTAAGATGCGAATTGAAGACTCTGTCAGAACTTGCAAATCGTGCGTTCGATCTGGTATGTAAACATGAAAATGGTGTATTCTGTTTGCAGTTCTTAAAGCAAAAATGTGATCAAAACTAAAAAATAACGTTCATGTCTCGAACATTGCCTGCATGATGCTTGTTAGGGAGCGGAGGAAGTACAAATTCAGACATGGGGTCAGACTGTTGAAGAGATGGTCAATACAGGGTCGAAATTGGCAGAAATCAACCCAGGTGCCATTGTGGTATGCCCTGACCTCGAATTACAGTAGAACAAATCATGGATTCTAGTGCTTTTGTTGAATGTATATCTTGAAAGCGATTACTTACATTGCGGTAACTTACTCCAACTCACCAGGTCAAGATCCCCACAACTAAGAATGGCCTTGTTACAGCTAGTCATCTGGCTAAGAGCGGTATTCCTGTGACCATGACAGGAGTGTATTCTGTGCATCAGGTAGGCATGTGTAAGCTACTAGAGATACATATGTCCTCCATATCTTTATGTGGAGTGTGTAATTAAGTTTCATGGTCAATTCTAGACTTTTTCGCCACCTGCAGTTGCTAATATATAAATTAGCGATTTACTCGGGGTGCTTATCTGGCTAAGCAACCCCTAAATACTCTGAATTCCGCTATTTTTGAAGAATCCTACAATTGATTCGTCTTCTTTATACACAGGCGCTACTGGCAGTTGGGGTTGGTGCTGCTTATGCAGCCCCGTACCTTGGACGCATGGTAGCCCTCGGAAAGCCAGGCATGGAAGATATCCAAGAAATGCAGGTATGGTGACTTTTAATTGTAAGAATACTGAAGCGCATACTCAACTTAAGGTTGCCTGCTTTCGGCTTTGAAGTATCCGACCTACTTACAATGGTTCAAGCTTTAGGCTGATTTTGGCAATAATTTATAGAAGAATCGTGTGGGTGAGTGCAGCAAATGGTAGGAGGAGTCAAAAGTGACATGAGACTACTTGTAGCGAGCATCAAAGACGTAAAGCAGATTACAGGCCTTGCTGCTAGAGGTGTAGAGTCTTTTGCCATTCCAGTGCCAGTCGTTGAAAAGCTCTTCCAAGATGGTGATACAGAGAAAGCTGCTGCTGAGTTTGAAGACGCCGTCTCGCGCACTCTAGAAATGAGCGCTTCAACGAGCACGTAAGATGTACCATAGCAATAACTAGTTTATGTATCAAAATCATGTGTAAATTGATGGAGAAATGACCAAACAGTAAATGACACTGCTCTGTGAAACTAGACAGTTTCTTGCATTATCCATGAAGTCCAATTATCCAAGAAAGCCTTCATTTCCTGGAATGTGGTGGTTTGAATTGACTGTAACAATATCTCTCTGAAAAATCAAAGAAAAAGAAAGAAATTGTGTGTCTTGATTCTGAGTGCTTTCCTTTGTGTGGCTTTACATGGTTGCCATTCTCTTGGTTCCCTCTACATTTATTACCATATTTTGAATTACTCCACAGGCTTCCATCCCACTGGCTTTAGGGTCTTCTGTAAACGACGATCCTTTCTGTCACGAAAACTACCAACTGCTCAAATTACATGCTGAAATAATTCATTGTAGTATGTTTCATGACGGTGAGAATTTACTGCATTCAAGAGAAGGTTCTGTTCTGTAGCATCAGATCATCTCCTGGCTTCCCTTTCCCTTCATGAAATGCCTGGCGAAGCTTACAAGTTGTTACAGCCACTTCTCAAAACACGGCCAAATTTCGAAATATTCGCATTTCTTTATGAACTAAGTACCCAATTAGAATCAGCGAGTCCAAGCTAGATTCGGTTCTTCTTTTCGATGATGGCACACATTGGACACTTTTTGTTCAACTAAATGTTTACTGCTCAGCCCACATATGTATCGATGTGCCCACGTGTTTTGTAATAAGGCTCGTTGCTGATGTTACTATGTGCAGATATGCTTCATATCCACACGAAAACAGATAAGTGCCGCAAGTTACCTTAAGATCAAAACTTGTTTAAGAGGAAATGTAACTATCCGAACAATACACCCAACATGCCCAACATACTCAACAGTCTGGCTTCTAACAAAAATCTGGTCTTCCGTCAAGAGTTAAGGCAGCTGAAAGTGACTCTCGCAGGATTGAATTTTTCCGAAAGAACTGATGTTCATGGGATGAATTGTTTATATTCGTTTTTCAACATACAGGATAATATCTTCATGCCCACGTGGATACCGACAAGAAGACACCAGTTGACGGCTTCTGATACCCGGGTGGTATCGGGATCGTGATGTACACGTTGGAGGCCATTGTCCAATGGGGATTTTTAATTTCTGTTGGAGCAAAAGCCATCAAGATGAATACAAGAGTAAATTCTGCCTTTGTTTTCATACATGTGCCAATGTATTTATTCTGTAGGAGTGCATGATACTTTATTCAATCAAGAACTCAGGTCAATGTCTTTTGGATATTGAAATTAAATTAGTTACAATTATATTTGAATGAATTGCTTAAAACATGTTAATGCTGATTTTTTTGTTTTTTTTCATTTCCATTTTCTTATCTTGTAAAGAAATTACGTTAATTGAAAAGGAGATAGAATCTTTTCTTTTATTATAAATGAAGGATGTGCTAATAAGTCATAAGCCTTGTATTAGTATAATATCACCTCTTACTATTAACAATTTTTTTATATAAAAGTGCATTAAGACTTTCTCTTTTTTTTTTTTTTTAAATAAATATATTTTTTTAAACTTTTCACTTCTACCTATGCTACTATCATTGTCTCTTTTTTTGCCAATACTATTGCTATTTGTAAGATTTTGCACACTTGTTACAAATGTTCTACAAATAAGGCACAACCAAACATTATAGGTAGCAACTTAATTACAACCTCCACTCTTTCTATACTTTAGATTGTTTTTTCTATATGTTAATTCAAATCTAAAAAGATCTCTACATATTGAACTTCTTAAGGATTGTCTATAAATATTGATTGGTGCAAAATCATTTTTTTTTTCTTCAAAATATTAGAATTGAGTGCAACAATTTTTTACTTTAGATTAACTTGATTTTATGGAAGTAATTTGTTATGCATTTCTTCAATTGTAATAAAAATTTCTTCTCAGTTTGTATTGGTCATTTATTTTTATTTTTATTTTTATCTTTGTTTAATAAGATTAGAAAAAATAAAAATAGATTTGCATGAAAACTATTATTTAGAAACATCTATTACTTTAAATTTGTATTATTTACTATAAAGTTTTTTAAAGGCATGTGTATAAGGTATGCCAAGTATTTTTAATAATATAATTTTGCAAAAATCTATATTATCAAAGAATTACATATCAAAGGAGGAATTGATTCAATGCAAAATGAAATACTTTCAACAACACTTCTTTTTATGTGGAGTTATTTTTTACTTATTCAAGAGATATAAATTTTGATTCAAAAATTCTTGGATGATGGCTTATTTTTATTAAAAAATTACAAGTTATAATTTCCCAAATACTACAAAAAGATCTCTTATTGAGACCTTTATCCATGATTTTATTGTTGCTGTCATGGACATATATATTTATTTAGATAAGAAGTACTAGGTAGAAGATAAATATAAGTATATTTAATATTAAATTATGGCAAAGCTTCTTAAAAGCTTCATAGGTGTGTATTTGACTTTATTCATGATTATAGTTACTTGATAAGTTAGAAACTTAGCCAACAAGTTAGCCATGTATTGTATATGTAGATAACTTGTGGTATAAGCTAACAATATGGTGTGCATATAGGAAACTTGCCTTACAAGTTAAATCATGTATCTTGCAAATTAGATACATATTAAAGGTCATATAGAACATTGCCACATAGCTCCTAGTTAGATAGTATATATGGAAGCAAGAATTAATCCTTCTTCACTCTTGTCAATGCCTTTTTAATCCTTATCTTGTTTCAAGACTTTTTAGTCTTCTTATCTTGGCAATAGCCATTCTAATTTAATATTATACCATCTTTGCATAATTTTTTAGTCTTTTTGAGTGACATAAGAATTTATTAATCTTTTAGTTCTTTGTCCTTGATAAGTTTGATAAGAATATTAACTTATTGTTCTTGATTTGTTTTAGAAGTGAATGAATTATCCCACTTCTACTATTGTATATTAAAGATTGCAAACTATTTACATTTAAACTAATTTTTAGTTATCTAAACACTGATTGTTTTTCTTAAAGAAAGTGGACTATCATTCTTTGTAAAAACTTTTATTTGGTATTAAAGATTGTAAATTATCCTTCTTTAATTTGACTTGTGAATTTATTTGAATATTTTATAAAAAAAAATATTATAGATGGTATTCATGGCAGAAGTAAGAATAAATTTATAACTATTGTATATCTTTATGAACTTGTCAATACTCTTAAGATTGAAATCTCATGTATTTTTAATATGAACCATAGAGGTATTAATTCTATATCTATAGAAAAAATCAACAATGAAGTTTAGACTCCTCACCAAGAAGTTGTGCAATTGAAAGAGGTAAGTAGATCAAGTTCACAATTGAATTTAAGAAGCTTTGTTTTTACAAGTATGAGGGAGGCAAGGATAAGTATGCTAAAGAAGTTTGATGGAATAAGATCAAAGTTTTGAAGATTTCTACAATAAGCCAAGTTCTTTCCAAAATTGCATACTTCTTAATATCTTAACGAGTTTATTTAAGTTAGATTTATAGATGTACTATTATTTGAGAATAATTTTTCTTGATTTGTACTTTTGATAAAAAAGAATTACGACTCTTTTGTGATTTAAATTTATTCTTATAAGTCTTTATGGCTATATTTAAAAAAAGTGATTAAAAAATGGTGGCAAAGATTAAATTTCTATCTTTATAATAAGGATCACATTCAACCATTATATATGCTATAAAATTCCAAAACCTTGTTTGTAGTATGGATTGAAATGACAAAGCTTTTATTAATCAATTTAAATTTGGATTAAAAGATAATGTCAAAGATTTATTATTGATAATATCAAGAGTAGATTCATTGGAGTAATTTATTGCTTAAGCCATTACATGCAATAATTGATTCTTTCAAAGATGCTAAGAACAAAGGTTTGGATGGAGAGGTACAAGTCAAGTTATATATATATTTTTATATCATATATATATTTTTATATCATATATATATTTTTATATCATATATATATTTTTATATCATATATATATTTTTATATCATATATATATTTTTATATCATATATATATTTTTATATCATATTTTTATATTTTTATATTTAAATGAGTTTCTTCAATTATAATAGAAATAATGTGGCTAGAATCTTTTATAATACTTAATAAAGGCCTTACTCAATTTTAATACTTTTTACTTTAATTTATAATAGAAGTGTGTTTAAGATAAAAAAATCACAAAGTCTTTGCCTTGTTAGATTCAAGAGCCTTAGCTTGTTTTATAGACAAAGCCTTTGTTAAAAAATAAGAAATATCTTTAGTTAAGAAAAATGAATTTCTACATGTAAAAGTCATATATGGTCATTTGTTGTCCTCTAGAGACATTGTCCATGAAATAGTTCCTTTAAGTATAGTACTTGCAGATCATAATAATTTAGTAATATTTAATGTGATTAAAATTCTTTATAATCTAATTATTTTAGGATTATTGTGCCTAAAAAAGTATAAGCTTCAAATAGACTATATTTCTTGTAACCTTAATTTTTTTATGGTTTAGCCAAAGATTTTACTAGTCAAATAAAAATCTATAAGTTTAATACATCCAAACCTTTATTAATAGATGTAAGAGCTTTCATGTATGTTGCAAAAGAAGAATCAACTTTTGCTATATATGCCATACTTATTTTTGATGAAGAAAAAATTTCAAGTAATATTTCAAGTAAGTACCAAGTTTATTAAGATATTTTTGAAAAATAAAATACAAATATTCTTCTAAAGCATCATCTTTATGAATGTTCTATCAATCTTTAAGAAAGAATTCAACTACCACTTAGACCAATCTATAGCTTATCACAAAAATAAATTGGTTGCATTCAAGTAATATATTCATAAAAATTTGGCTAAAAACTTTATACACTATTATATATCTCTAGTAGGGGCTCTTATTTTATTTATGAAGAAAAAAGATAGATCTCTGTGGATATATGTAGACAATGAAGAACTCAATAAGATCACCATAAAAAATAAGTATCTTTTACTTTTAATTTCAAGACTTTTTGATCAATTGAATCAAGCAAAGATATACAAAAAAATAGATCTATAAAAATTATATAATCTTATA